CAGATAAGATTTACTTTTTTCTCTAACGGTCAAAAATCAACTCTCACCATTTCCCGACGTGGTAAATACTGTTTTGACTATTTGGTATAGGAGAAGACGTGCAGAGTGGTTGCCTTTTTATCAACGACAAAAAAAGAAAAAAACGAAAATACAAAAAAGTAAATAAATAATTATATAGAGAGAAAGAGACGTAAAACTCTTGAGTTTTTTTATGTCTTCACTTCTCTTCATTATCCGATCGCTCAATCTTCCCCCTTCTTTCTCTCTCTCTATAACTCTCTACATTTACGGTGCTTATATATTCACGCAGATTACTTTCTCTCTCTACCAACCAATCTATCAATCTCGAAGATCATCGAAATATTCGAAACCTAACAATTTAATTTGTTTTAAAGAAGCTTTTAAATTTCTTGATTCAATTTGTATATATTCTTCGAATAATTGTTCAATCCTTGTACAAATTCTTTCAATTTATTTTTACCGATTGTTTCAAGTTAGGGTTGGTGTTTTGTTTATACCTAAAAATTACATACAACAAAAAAGAGTTTTTGAAGAATTTGTTGCTTTGTACTATTCAAATTTGCAAGCAGAAACTATAGAACTTCCGGTTTAGTTTTTGGTTTTTTTTTTTTTTTGTTTATCTGATTGATGGAAAAGTAAATAGGGAAAAGGGGGAAAAGAACTGCAGACGACAGGGGCTGTGCAATTGAACCCTTTTTTTGTTGCGATTTGCATGGTATTTGGATGGTTTTGGAGTTGTAAGTTGTAAGCTAAAGATTGAGACGCCCGTGAGCTGAAGACGTTAATCTTTTAGGGTTATTTTATTCTTATAAAGGATGATTTTGCTAGGGTTATGACCATTATTGGTTTGAGAGGTGAAAGGGCTGAATTGCTGAGTGCGTGTTTTACCTTGTTGGTTTTTAGCTTAGTTGGGGTTTGTGATGAGGAATGATAGCCAGAAAAGTGGTGGCGTTTCTGTTCCCGGAGGGATGCTGCGGTCTGATCGGGGCAATAATGGGATCATTCCGACATCCATTAAGTCTCTTTCCAGCTACTGGAGGGTTGTTTCCTCAGGAGCCTCGAGCGTGGCATCCACCGTGAGGTCTGCTGCTTCAGCTATGGTGGACAAGGACGGTGAGTCCCCCCAAGATCAGGTGATACTTTTACCTTAACGGAAAGTTCTAGAGAAAAGTTTAAAACTCGTAGCTTCTTTTTGACCGCTTGATTTGCTTAAATTGAGTCGCTGCATGAAACTGTAAAATGGAGCTTTTGTAGTTTAAAATCCTTTTATTCATAAAAGGAAAAAGATTGTTTAGTTGGCAATAAAGTTGAAAAAATAGATAGTTATATGTTAGTATTAGATGAGATTTTGACTGCGATGATTCAGTTTGGGTTTGAGGTGGAAACTTGTTGTTTCAAATCTCAATATTTATGTTTCGTCTTAGATTTCTATAAGTTTTTTTTTCACCTTTTTTCCTCGTAATCCTTGGTGAAGACAAATTGTGAAATCGAGGTTTTGCATGCAGCAGTGTATGCATTTCTAGGAACAACTTACTCTCTGTTTGGATACAAATCTATAAATGGTTTAGAAATTCTGTGAAAGTCAAACAATAATTTCAATTTTCAACCACTCATTCATAATTACTACACATTATACAAACAGTCTTAGTCGTCGAATAAAAGGACTGGACTTTTTTGTGGGTTTGTTAAACATTTTGAGACTGGTAAATGCAAGGACATTGTTTTGATTTTCCGGGGATTCCTTTTATGTCTTGAGTTTTTCGACCTGTTAATACGTAGAAATTGTTATTTTTTAATTTTTTCCCAGTAGGTTTAGTTGATTTTTAGTAAACTTAAACTTGACGAAATGTAAAACAAATTTTTAGTATATTTTGATAAAATTTAATGAAATGTTTAGTTGAAAAGTTGATATAGGTTGTGGGTCCATGAAATGTGTGGTTGGAAATGAGCTTGGCGAAATTTTAGGACATGGGGGCTGAACAGGGGTTTTATGTGATGGAACTGGTTCCATATCAATCCGGGATATGTTAAGTACATAAGATACCTGGAATAAAGTAACCGATGAAAATGGTTAGTTTAGGATATTGTTGTATGCACAATGTGTTCATACACTGATGGAAAGGTTTGTCCCCTTGCTTCGTCACTGTAATTTTTGTTGAAAAATAGTTGTATCTCCACAGTTTTTTACTTCAATTTTTTAGTATTAGGCAAATGAATGTTTTGATGTTTTATGATAGTGTTGCTTCTTTTTTTTGTCTTAATCAGCAGTGTCACCATCATGCCATGGTTGTATAATTGATAAACTTCCTCAACCTTTTAGAGGACCCGACAATATAAATTTCGAGTAGTGGATGACTTCTGTTACTGGCTCATGCTTCATGACATGTGGGTATAAAAGAGGGTCATATGATTGAAAATTTTCTGTGGGGAGGTGACATGTTTTCTTTGACTTTTGCAAGAGCAGTGATATGTCAGTTTTTTATGCAAATTAATTTTAGTCTAGTTAAAGTATCAGAGAGTCATTGTCTATTTTTATGCAAAGTCTTTGTTTCAATTAATTGTGTTGTGTAGTCAAGGAAGTCAATTAGTTTTCCTAGATCAATTATATGAAGTTTAGGTTTTCTAAGGGTCATTACTGATGTCAAGAAGTCATTTTACTCTAAATAGAGTCAAGAATGTAGCTTTGTGATCAGTTTTATCATCAACGTTATTGAAAGTTTATCTAGAACCCTCTTAAAGGCTTTTTCCAGATTTTCCTTAATAGATCTTGGCTCCAACGGTGTTTGGAGTATTTTAATCTTGGCTACTTCACTTTCAGCTGTCATTAGGTTTTATATTATTCGGCTAAACCCACTATGTTTTAATTGAATGGCTATGAGTTGTGTATGAATTCCCAAGAGAACTGATGGCATTCCCTTTCTGTTCTCTTGCTTAGTAATAATTTTTTTCCCAGTTTCGTAGGATGAACCCTCTCATTAGTGTTGTAACTGAACGGGTACGGCACCCTAATAAGTTGTATTCTAAGGCCATGCAGTTTCTCCCTTTGGTTAATCAACCTTCTTTAAGACAACTTAAGGTTTTGATCTATGCCCTCGGTAGGATATTTTTTAAGTTGTGGTTTTCTTTAATGTTTTGTGTATAATTGTGTGAATAGACATGTTTAACTTTTCATTTCTTCATTAAGATAAGGCGTTTTAGTCACTGTTCATGCTTTTTCATTTAAAAAAAAAAAAAAAAAAATTCAAAGGGAAGAAAGTGTCAATTAAATTTCCGCAGCTTAATGCATGTTGTAAAGGACCTGATCTACCTTTAGCAACGTCCTAAACAGATTCGTAGTAAATTCCAAATTTAATAGTCAGCTAAAAGTATTCTGAATTGTTTTCAAGAATCAAGCTAATATGTTCGCCCGTAGGGTTGACAGGTTATCAGTTCAGGGTTTTACTTGAAAGTTTGCTTTAGGGAATTGTTAATAAAATTAAATCATAAGATACAGCATAAATTGCAGTGACTTGAATAATAACACTGTACCGGTGAAAGAAAAACATTTAATCCATAAAAAATTTCTTCTAATTAATAAATACCATTGTTACACGAGCAGACATCCTAATGACTACAGTGCTTCTCGTCATGGCAAGGATTATAGGTCTGGATCCACTTCAAAGTTACTTACCAGTATTCTGTCCTTTCAAGAAAAAAAGTATATGAAGTCATCAAAATGAAAGCAGAAGTAAAATAAAGAAAGTCAGGAAACCAACATCCAAACAGCTGTTAAAGGTGTAAAGGACATACAGACTCATTCACAAAAACACGAAAATATATCATGGTAATGCCATAGTTTTAAAACGTGTGAACTGGCCTGTATTGTCCCAGTTGGCTATATTGGACCAATACCTGGGAATAACTAGTCAAAATCCAGTTAAACTACGAGTGGACCGGACTGAATCCGATGGGTAAGTAAACCCAAGATCTGAAATGGCCTTTAATAAAAATATTAGGCTTCCAGTGCCAGATTAGTTCCGACTGTTGTACCTCATGCTCAAGAAAGCGAAATTTATGCGCTGCGCCAGTTTGAGAAGTTATGTAAGCCACTACCTAAAAACTGGTTATTATTGTGAACCATTTATCATTTAAAAATTGAGTATTTGAGCATTTAATGTTTTTAATTACTATATTCTTATTTATCACCACAGCTTTGACTTATTACATGGCTTACTTTTTTTAGCATATATTTATATTTCACATGATCTTTTTATTTTAAAAATATTGTTTACATATATGTTCATTTTACATTGGCCCAGTAGTTAAACCCTTAACCAGGCGGATGAACTGGTGATCTGCTGACCCAGTGCTTTTGCTGGGTCCGGGGCCGTTTTAAAACTATGGACTATACTATACAGTAAAGTTTAAAGCTTCAATGGTATAGAACTTGCACCTTTTTTTGCTTGAAAAATATATGGAGTTCTCCTTTTTGATTGTTAGTCAAGTGAAAGAATGAATTTTATGATCTAGAAAATAATGGTCGAGAAGTTTGTCAGCCTAATCAACTGCTTGAATTTGTGTTTGTAGTTTGGGTGGATTGACAATATACTTTTGATAACTAAATAAATAAATAATTCTTGGGGTGGCAGGCAATTTTCTGTTTATGCCATCTCCAAATTTTATTGCTGACCAATTGTGCCGTTCTGCTATGAATCCTTAATTCATCATGTTTTATGACTATAACCTCAAGTATTTTCCTATAGTTTCTATTTCCATAATTGGTGCACGGGTATCTTTCTCTATGTTGGGCCAATTCTTAATATGATATTTGGCATTTCTAATTCATGTGGTCTAGATCTATTATATATAGCCGATTTATATTTTTATACCTTTCCATCCATTGAAGGTGTGCTGGGCTGGATTTGACAAATTAGAACTCAAGGGAGGCATCACAAGGAAAGTTCTCTTGCTCGGCTACAGTTATGGCTTTCAGGTTTGGGATGCGTGCACGGGTATCTTTCTCTATGTTGGGCCAATTCTTAATATGATATTTGGCATTTCTAATTCATGTGGTCTAGATCTATTATATATAGCCGATTTATATTTTTATACCTTTCCATCCATTGAAGGTGTGCTGGGCTGGATTTGACAAATTAGAACTCAAGGGAGGCATCACAAGGAAAGTTCTCTTGCTCGGCTACAGTTATGGCTTTCAGGTTTGGGATGCTGAAGAAGCAGACAATGTGCGAAAACTGGTTTCCAGGCATGATGGTCCTGTTTCATTTATGCAAGCATTACCCGACCCAACACCATCAAAGGAATCTGGAGACAAGTTTGCTGATAGTCGCCCATTGCTGATCATTTGTGCTGATGGATCGTTTTCTGGAGGCAACAATATTCAGGAGGGTTATGGTGGTCCTCGTAATGGGCCAGTCCAACACTACCATGGTTCTGTTAATGGTAGTTGTATGCCTACGGTAGTTTGGTTTTATTCTTTGCAATCACAATCATATGTACATCTTTTACGGTTTAGGTCGGTGGTTCATTTAGTGAGATGTAGTTCTCGAGTTGTTGCTGTTCTACAATCAGCTCAGGTGTGTTACGTTATGTTTAAATTCATCAAAAATTATACTTTCCATCCTTCACTATCCTTTTTTTATTGTCTGGATATGTTGATAAGATATGTTTTATACAGATACACTGTTTCAATGCTTCTACGCTGGAGAGACAGTATACAATTCTTACAAATCATGTTGTTACGGGTGACTGTGGTTCTGGAGGAATAGGCTTTGGGCCGCTTGCAATGGGTCCCAGGTGGATGGCTTATAGCGGAAGTCCAGTTACCTTTCAAAATTCAGGGCGTGTGAGTCCACAGCATCTTACCCCATCTGCTAGTTTTACTAGTCCTGCTTCAAATGGAAGCCTTGTTGCTCATTATGCGAAAGAGTCAAGTAGGCAACTTGCTGCTGGTATTGTTACACTAGGGGACATGGGTTATAAGAAATTATCGAGGTACTACTCTGAGCTGTTGCCCGATGGCAACAATTCTCACTCAGGGAGTGCTCGTGCAGATAGTGTTGGCATGGTATATATAATTCTTCCCAAGTGTGGATCTTTTTATGGTTTGTGGAAACCATTTTTTTTTTAATGTGATGTGCTGCCATTGCTGTCTCGGTCAAATTTCTTTTACCTGCTTTGCAAGTTATTGAATTTAATTGTTATTGTACTTAGAATGTTTCTTCGCTCCTCTGTTTTGGTGCAATATATAAGATTTCCTATTGGTATAGGATTAATAATATCTGATTAATGTTCATTATGCATCACAGGTGCAGTATTGGTTATTCTGTGTGTAACCTTATAATTTTGTGTAGGGCCCCCCCCTTCCTTTATATGTTTGGAGGCTATTGTCTGTAAATGGGATCGATCTTATATTCTTTCTGTTTGATAATGCTTTCTTAGGTAATACAGGACATAAGTTTTAGCATTGATAGCCAATGGATTATGGTTAGTTCTCTAAGAGGGACAAGCCATCTTTTTGCTATTTCTCCTTCAGGGGGTTCAGTTGGCATTCAGTCCTCTGATTCTTGTTATAGTACTAGAAACAGTGGATACAGTTCGATGAAGAAATCTGCAGTTCATGGGCCACCAAATTCAGGGATTCAGCTCCTGACCCAACAAAATATTTGTGCATGTGGGTCGCCAATTTCACTTTCTCCTCTTATCAGAATAAGAAATGGAAATAATGGTTGGAGAAATGCTGTAAGTGGAGCTGCTGCAGCTGCTACTGGGAAGATGAGTTCTTTCCCTGGGGCTATTGCTTCAACTTTCCATAACTGCAGAGGTGATGGTGTGTATGGACATGCCAATTCGCTGAAGACAAACTATTACCTGCTTGTTTTCTCTTCTTCTGGTTGTATGATACAATATGTATTGGGTACGTCTGCTGTGCTAAATAGTGTGACAGCTCTACCGGGTGTCAGTGCCTGCTGTGAATCAGATCCAGACGATGATGCAGGGTTTGAAGTGAAGGCAATCCAAAAGTGGGATATTTGCCAGAAACTAAAAAGGAAGGAGCAGGCAGATGATATTGGTATGTATAGTGAAAATGCAAATTTAGATCGTGCGAAAGTATATCCTGAAAGAACAAGACAGGAAGATAGTGTGTGTTCCGATGTCATGGGTGCACCCACGAAAGATAAGATTACAACTGATGAAAGGCATCATATGTATATATCTGAGGCTGAGCTGCAAATGCATCAAAATAAGAGTCTATTGTGGGCGAAAACTGAGGTACTTGATCGGTTGCATAAAATTTTAAATGGTGTTTTAGCAGATTCACTCTTCTATCATTGTGATGCTTTACATATCTTGTTATCACATTCTCTTTGGGCAGATAAGTTTCCATTCCATGCAACTGACTGATGACTTTAATGAAGACAAGGAAGATGCTCGTAGGGGAGAGATTGAGATTGAAAGAATCCCCGTTGACATGCTTGAAGTTAGGTCGAAAGACTTGGTTCCAGTTTTTGATTATCTTCAAGCATCTAATCTTCATTTTCAGGGGAGGTGGGTTGAAATTTTATGATAAAAATTTCTGTAGTTCATTTTATATGTGAATGCAGTTGTATGTCTTATGTTTGGTTTTAATTTCTTCGTGGCTTCATGCCCTATTTCTAATAAATGCTCATTGTCATTCAGAGTTCCTGATGCGAATAGCAATAATAATGGGCAGTTGCTATGCCAGAGGTCTGATACGTCTGAAGGATCTGGCTCTCATGATATGATGACCAATGATGGCATTGTTACGGCAGAACCACACAATGGTGCTGGAGAAACTAGCAGGGGCTATATAAATACTGATAGCTCAATGGCAAACACTCGGCCTCAGACTGTACATACTAGAGACTACCCTGCTGGAGAGACCCAAATTAACTCTGTAAATAGTAAAATAGCTGGCCTGATACTGGAGAATCAATTTGGAGATGAAGGCGATGAGTTTGATTGATGAAGGTAATTTTTTACAGTTCCTAGTCTAACTATGATTCAACGCACATCAGTACACTGTGTGATGCTTTTTCATCGATGTTGGTCATTTTTCATAATAGATGGTTAGAGTTGACTGTGGTTGAACATTCTCTGTGGCTGACCTAACATTTTCATATGATTGGCATGGATTTTATTTGCATAGAATGTTGTTTTGTTATTTTCTTGGAAGTGATGCCAAAGGTTGTTATTGCGGTTAATGTTGTATGTTTTGCTCAGGTGTGAAGCTATTCTTGTATTCTACTGGAGGGTTCCTTGAAAGTGTCAAAAATGTGGAAGAATATGTAGAGGAGAGTGAAGAATAGGGACTTTGACTGATTTGAAGTGTGGATACAATGTGTTGGTTTTCATCCTACGTGACTTATGTAAAAATAAAAACAGGGATTATTAAATCCAATAAGTAGTTGTAATCTGTAAATAATAGTCATTGTTACAACATTTTAATGCTATCCTCTTTGAGTTTTTAATATTAACTAGACTTTCATCCATCCGTGTGTAGAATACACATTCAACAAAATCCACTGTAGGCGTGATTAAGTAAAATTCTGCACAAAAGATGGTGTAAAAATTCTCCTAATTTTTTATGATGTTTGGGATCCAATTGATTTGGATGATCTTGGAATCCCACAGCCTAAATTCATGTAGGTGGTAAAACCATGCTGACTAGATTATTGAAGGAAATAGTCTTTCTGAAAGTTTGAATTTCAACCTTGAGGGTCCTCATCGCCTCACTCCTGGAGCATCGTGAGGAAAGTAAATTGTAAGATGTGTCCCAGCAGATTAGGGAACAAGAGCTTGTCCGTATATTGGTGCCTATAAAGAGTTTAATTTCATATCAGGAAATAGTCTTTCTTGAGCTTATGGTACTTTGATTTGGATAGCACTTTGAGCAATCTAGCAACCACCTGTACCCTTCTTAGTGGGGTCAAGTAACTCGAGAAGTTCTAAATTTCCCTTGGATTCCATCCACCTTCCATTGACATGTTAGGGGGTCAACTTCCTTCAGAGGCAAAAAGGTGATAGGGGTTGAAAGATGAGATCAGGAAGAGTTTTACAGCGTTGCATCAAGCCATTTCAAGATAAAAATAATGGTTTTTGAGTATATCTATTTTCATTGAAGACTGAATTTAATGAATACAATTGTTTCTATTGAACAACTTAAACTTTTAGATGAGAAGGTTAATAGTTTTGTAAGTCTCATCAATCAAAAGTACAAATTATCGCTAACTAAAGGGGACGAAGTATTTTTGTTTCCCATTGCAGAATTTAAGACAAATAAAATGTGAACTCAGATTGATGATAAAATAAAACTAGAATCACGAATAGTTAATCGATTGATGACAATGATTATTTTTACCGAGATACAAAAAAGACTGATCAAACTGTAGCGAGTCTGTCTTCACAGTGATCATTCATCAAAGCCAATAATCACACATGCTTAACATTGTTCACAAAGTTATACAGTAGGCAAAAACTAATAAGAGTTGAGACAATTGACAATTGGACCATAATGTGATTCCCACCATTAAAGGCATTGACTGCCAACTTATGCAACTGGTGGGCGAAGCACGTGATCCTGTGAAGTATCGACAGCAGCAGGAGGCATGAACTGCCACATGGCGACTCCAGGATAACTGATTACGGGCACAAATTTGTTTGTTGCAGCTTGACCTTGGGCAGCAAATGCAGCAGGCATGGCAGGAGAAGGCAGAAAGCCAGGTTGCACATTTGTTGTCTTTAGTTGTTGCTCCAGCTTTTCCTTCTCAGCCTTCAACCTTTGCTTCTCTTCGCGGAGCTCGTTCTTCTCAGCCTACGCAAATTAATGGAACCCCAGATTGTGCATAAGTGATCATCTTCTGGTCGGTCCATCATAGCAAAGTCAAATAAAAGGAAAACATGGTAAACATGGTACTAGTTTTCTCAAGGTTAAACTTTTAGACCAGATTGGAATCACAATCCATCCAAAATGATTAGTGGAGAGTCTGGAGACACATACACCGAAATAATATAAATATAGGCAATCTTACCTTCAGCTCTTTAATCTTTTCCTGCAGATCTGTATTCGAGTCCGTTAGCTTCTGGGCTTCACCTCGTAGTTGAGTCACCAAGCGAGCAGCATCAAGCAAAATAGCAGCCTTGTCGGTTTTGGGAGGCCTTCCAGGCTCCAAGAGAGCACTCAATTCCATAAACCTAAAAAAATCAACGATGCAGTTACAAAAGCTGTGTGCGCGCACGAGAGAGAGAGAGAGAGAGGCATAAGGCAAGAAGAGAACATGATCGCACTTGTCATTCAGCTTGTCTCTTCGTTGTTTCTCCCTTTTTGCTTTGGAACTCGATGGAGCACAAGATGCAGTTCTAGCTCTGTGAAGAACACAACAACGTGAGATGAAATATTTTTTACTATAACGAGGGTTTTATTAATAGAGCATACTTCTTTAAACAAAAAGCAAAACCATATCCATCAGGGGTAGTTTAATTTTTGTAACTCACAGATCACAATTCTCTTGTTCTAATGAATGCAATTTCTTTACCAAAACTTTAGACCAATACAAAATGTGTAGTGGTTCTTTACCGCTTCTTTGAGCCAGGTTCCCTCTGGGCATCTGAATCCTCAAATGAGCAATCATTTTCCATGCTGTAAAAGATTAGATCACAGAAAAAGAAATGAGAAGAAAAGTGATGAATCGCAACATATATAATGCAAGTAGTAAGGTTCTTGAAGATTTTTCTATTTTGACAAATAAAAGGATCTCCACTTATATTGATTTCAAACACAAATACCAGAATACCTTACTCCACCCCAAAAAATTTCACAAACTATTCCATCCAGAAGCCCTTAAATAATAAGAAAATTAACCCAAGATCTTTCCAATCAATATCATTGACCCTTGTCCCAGTTAGGCCATAAGCAAAGAACTATAGTGATTGTATTTTCACCTGAGGGGGAAAAAATTTAGTACCTATTTGACAATCATTATTGTAGAAAAAAGAGTTTTGAATAGTGATTTTTACGAGAATGTGTTGTTAAAAAGCAGGGAAAAGTTTTTGATATAATGTAGAATATTTTATTATGGGAATGTGTGATTGAAAATGATTTTATAGCAAATCATGAAATAAATTAATGTGTCAACCAGGCCCTTAAATTAGACCATACACGAATCTAATCTAGAGTGAACCAAGTTTCCTCTTTTTCTGATATGATTTATAGAAACTGGCCGCTCGATTGTCACAGTAATACCACTTACAATATTAACCCCAATGGCAGTCCTAGATTAAAGATATAATCTTACTTGCATTAACCATGAAGAAATAAATTCCAATCAGTAGCTAACTTTAAATACGTAAGCACATATCTTTTAAACTATATTTGATCTAGAACTTAAATAATAACCCAAAAACATATCATAATTTTAGCATATAAAAGCTTAGTGTAGTAGAAAATGCAAAATAAAAATAACATCTCCATAAGGATACCAAAATTACAAGCAGAAACACAGAAACATTCTCCAATGCTGATGTAGTCTTATTTATTTATTTATTTTTGCATATTAGCCCGTCTTAAAAAAATTTTCCGAATCAGGCCATGCCCACCATCAAAAAAATAACTTAATAAAGCCACAGACATTAAAAATACCTGCACCATCAAACAATAAAATTTATTAATTTCAATAATGATGCTTGTCGAGGCTCAATGACAGGAAACAAAAAAGGACAACTGATGTTGGCAACTGCTGGTTGCCGTTTGATTTTTTTCGTTTTTCAAACTGTGCAACCATGTTCCAACATGTGTCTTCCCAGTTTTTGAATCTGTTTTTAGGCCGGTTTGTGTAGCATAATATTTTTCGTTTACAGTATTAAATAGGTAAGGGTGTGTTTGATTACATTTATTTTCCATGGAAAATATCAGTTTTCTACACAAATTCGTACTTTGGGTGTTTGATTGTTATTTTTTTCCATTGAAAATATTTTCCAACGTTTGAAAATATGCCCAATTTTCCTTGTTTTTAAGAAAAATAATTTCTTTTGTGGGAGGTGGTTTTTGTTTTTCTCAAAACAAGGAAAATATTTTCTTTTCTAGGTGATCTTTTTCATATCAATTAAATGCACTATAAAAGTCTGCAATCGCTACTACGGAATTATTTACTTCTAATAATTAGCTTAGAAGACAATTTTCAATAAATCAACTCCCAACACAAACTTGTGGGGTACTAAAATGACTGGATAAAATGGGAGATGAAAAAAGGAAAAAACCAAAAATATAAAATTTTGGAAACAAAACCGCATGAGTCCCTTAAAACCCTAAAACAGCTCAAATTCAACCAAATAATAATAATAATGAATAAAAAAATACCAAATGACAGTAAGCACCAAAAAATACAAAAACAAAAAACGAATCCCATAATTTTTTAAAACAGAACGATAGCTGAAAAGCCCAAAGCTTTATCAATTACAACTAGAATAATGTCAAAATAAGGGGGGTAAATCGGAATAAAGAAATTCCCAGACATTACCTGATAATGGATGAACCATTCAAGGGTTGCACAGACCATGAAAATCCAGAAGCTGGAGCAGACAAATTCCCTTCAGGAACAGCAACATCCTCAACCACATAATCATACAACCAATTCGTGTTTTCCGGGGAAACCATTTCCAATCAGCCGCCGAAAAATGGAATTTGTTGAAGTCAACCCAAGTAAAAAGGGAAACTTTGCTAATCGATTTCACAGAGTTTGAAAAAGAAAAGAGGGTATCTGGGTCTGAGTGGGGAAATTAGAAATTGGGGGAATTTTTGGGGAAATGATGCAATTTATGTCGATTTGGTACTTTTTAGCAATTGGGTGGAGTCCCCAATCTTTTCATAAATATGCATTTGAGTACCTGAGTAATTTCTTAGCAATTTAACTATTTTTATTATTATTATTATTATTAATTTTTTTTTTTAGAGCACTCGAGCCTCACCTTTGTACTCTAATTGCTGGCTTGAGGCTATTATCTTTTAATCTACTTTGAACCTTTGTTTCTTTACTTTTAATATTGGAAATTAGACTAACTCTCGTATTGTAAAGAATGCTTTTAATTAGTTTGATGAGTAGAACTGAACAACGGACCACAATGAGGAAGTGAATTTTTTTGATGAATCACATTTTGCCCAATGTATAAGTAGAGAATTCAAGTGAAAAAGTACAAGTATCTTTAGATCATCAAATACTTCCCAATCAATTACTAATAACGTGATTGAATCGTTAAATACTATTTGAGAATAAATTAGGTAAATATATATATTTTTTAAATAAAAACGAAAGATGATAAAATGAAAAGAAGAAAAGAGAGAGAATCTCAACCTCCTTTACATACTCTCAAACGTTTAATTCCCTTCCATAATTGTTCCAACTATGGAGTGAAACCCTTAAGGGGCTAAACTAGGTTACACTTCAAGGATAACTGGGAAAACGTTTCCATAGTTTGCCCAAATTGGATTCGATTATACTTATATCAAGTATTCAAGGGTAATAGGGCAAACGTTTCTAATTTTGCATCTAGTAAAAGTGCTGTAACATTTTTTTCTTGTTTTTTATATTTTAACCTCGAGTCGTTCTTTTTCCAATTGAAACTACTTTACATTCTAGAACAAAATTTGGTTTCTCTCATAATTAAAAGCATCAAAATTTAGTTGAAGAATAGAATCTCTTATAACTAAAAGCATCTTACTTTGGTCACATATTAAAGATTATCATTTTAAGATAAATTGTCAATGATGGAAAGTGATAGGTGGATTTTCAAAATTTCATTTCCAAGTCATGGATATGAATGACGTGTCGAGTTTCTATTGGTGATAATGATTAGATAAAAGATGGAAGATGAGTGGACTCAGATACCAGAAACAATTCTCATTTGAGTTCCAACTACAACAGTAGAAGTGTACATGTGCATAAATAAATTATCAATACAAATTAGTTTTTTTTTTTTTATTAATGAATTTCAAGTCATCATAATATCAACAAAATATTAATTTAATATGTTTTTCAAGTACTTTTATGGATTTCTCAAAGTTGGTGTCAATCTAATAAACGAAATTAGGTGTTAATGTCAGTGTATGTGATATTTTTGTCATTAGTTGGCTCTCGTTTTAAATGGAAGTTAAATGTATTGACACCTTTGGGGTACCAATTGCTATACAATTGACCTATGAGGAACAATACGAGATAATGTCTCGTAGAGTTCAATTACCTAAAAGATGGCACAGAAGATGAGCCAATCTTAAACTCTTAGAACACCACCAAAAGATTTTTTAAAATCATTCTTCAAGAAACTTTTTAAATTAACATTTTAATTTAGAGAGTGGGTTTGCCAAACTCACTTTGTATAATTAAATGCATTCAAAATATTTTAATTTTTAATGTAGAAAAATAATAAAATAATTTAAAGAAAAGTTAGTTAAAAACAAAAGATAGAGAAAAATAATAAATATTTTTTGAAAGTAGTAAAATTAAGTCTTAAATATAAAGATTTCATTTGAATACTTCAAAATTTTAACTCTTCAAATGATAAAATATGCTCTTTAAAAATAGAGAATCTTTTGAAGATGCGCTTAGTTAGTGAATCTAATCCTCGACGAAAAGTGAGAATTCTGCATATTTTGATCAATTCAAGGTTAAAAATGAAAGTATTATTAAAAAATCTTTAGTTCTTTCTTCTTCATCTATCCCTATCATACAATGGAGAAAAGGACGTGAACAGTGGCAAGTAACATGCTCTAAAATCTGAGGCTTATATGATAATGACTCATTTTTAGACCTTAATAATTTTAATATCTACCATGATATGACTAGAGTTTACTGAGCATATATCCAAGTGGTTACAACTTAGAAATAAGAAGAAATTATTTCTTAATAACTCAGATTAAGAAATAACAAATGTTAGAAATGTCTAGCTCTTCTATAAAATACTTCTCAATGCTTAGTCAGAACCCCAACTTCTTTCACCTGATAATAAGTTTAGGGCTGAAGAGATTGATCAATTAATTAAAAGTTTTTAACTGATAGTGGTTTTTATTGTTGTATGCACTATAGGCCTCATTCAGATGTGAACATTGGCTTTACTGGCACTGTGATGGATTTCAAATATTATACAAAAAGAGCATAAACTATCATCAATGTAAAGATGTTTTCAAAAATACAAATCAATAAATGAAAAGCACAACCCCTATGATATTACTGATTACAAGAACATCATGTTAGAAGTACTTTTTCTTGGTTAAAATGATCTCTATAAATGTTAATATTTCAAAAATCAGCCAATGCTCAGACGAGAATCAGAAGATCTAAGATTGGTTTGACGCCGAGGGACACCAATCTCGCAAGCATTCACACGTGCTGCAAACCTTAGTGAACAAAGTGATTCACCAACTGAAGAAGGATCCGGAGATACATTGACAAACATCAATGTCTTGGAATCTCCACCTAAACAAGGCTGTGGACGGGAAAGAGAGAGAAAACATTGATCACGTTAATCAAATGATACCATCCATACGACAGGATGCGAATGTAGTAGAGCATGGAAGACTTCTCTAACTTCGTTTTCTTGTTAATTCTAACAAATCCTTCGTATTTTCATTTGACTAGGCATATTGATATTTCTTATTTCGTCAGCCATATAAGTTGTTTATAATCAGTACTAGGCACAGCGATTAAAAAAATTCAACACCTCCAGAACAGCTCCATGTCATCCCAAGAAGGATGTGGTCAAACTCATCCAACAAGCATCGAAGTCCAACTTTGGAAAGTTCATTAGTTATGGTTTTCAGATTATTCTACGAGAAAGGCATATCAGAAGCTGAGGCCCCTTCTCACTTACGTAATCAGTACTAGAAGAAAGAAAAAAGACCTTCTCATAAGGCTATAGTGATTATAGTTTGTAGTGTAGTCTACCATCGTTATATAGATGACAGGTTAAAGATACTCATAAGGCCAAAGATTTTCCTCAACTGCCTAACGTGTTAGTCACGAACGAGAAAGAAAAATCTTCCACTAAGCGAACCATAGCTACACCGCTTAAATATAATTGCATTTTAACATTTTAGTGCATCAGCTCACATAATTAGGAAAATACTCCAGTAAATCTTCTAAAAGGTAGAAAAATACTGCAAAATATTTCTGAATAGATTAACTCAATATGTCTTCACTCATTTGAAAACAATTACCTGGAGAAGATAGGTCAGCTTTGAGTTCCTAAATGGCACATGCTCCTCCTTCTTCGCCAAGGCAAATATAACATCACTTAGGGATGATAAACTCTTATTAATTGACTAATTACAAGACAACAAAAATATAAGTTAGGACAAATCCAATATATGAACAGTTCCAGATATAATTGAGAAAGTTATAGTTTTTATACCTGAGTTTCTTTCAGTCGATCTCCAGTAGATCCACTCTTAGAAAGACGCTCACTACCAGCAAGGTCAATTAGATTCAGGACACCTTGTACCTGTTGATCGGTGCTCTATAACACAAAGAAAATATAAATTGAGTTTTGTGATTTTCTATTCAAACAATGAAAAAGATGGAATAATCACGGTGACAAATCAAAAAGGTAGATTCGTGTAAAATAGCCATACCTCATTGACACCCATTATTCGCAGTGTAAAGACGAAATGGCTCCTAGAAGACTGTTCATTCATTTGAGTCTTTCCGACAGATCTAAGGAAATTGAAAACCCATAAAAAGCAAAAGATCAATCTTTTTTATGGCCACAAAATGGAAAAACAGAGTTAACATTTGTCCTTTTTACACATGATGCAAAAAATGTTTTACATTGGACTGGGAAACTATATTTCTGCAAAGTAGATTAGAGTTTTCGTATTGAACTACTTCCAAATCCAATATGAATTTGAAAGATATGAATGGTCAACACAAAGAAATGGGAAACAAATCGGCAGTTTTGTTACCTGCTTTGTATTGCCCGCTCCAAAAGATATGAAACCTCATTACTACTACGAACGTCTACAACTGTTAGATCAGAGACATGAGTGTTGCCATTGGCATCATGTTTGATTGCATATTGCTTTCCGACATTCTCTGTCCTTGACGTATCAAAGCCTGATCTATTGGGTATTAAAAGATCACGTATTGTTTCATTGTATATTTCAAGCATTGACACCTAAAAATAAAGGTGAGATTAGATGATTCGGAAGCAAACAAAAGCATAATCAATTAGTGCAGATAAAAACATAATGGCATTCACTGTGCACCTGCATTTCATATTTCCATCCTTGGGATTGAAGAGCTTGCCTTGTCTCGAAAACCTGTTCTAATGTCCGTGGAATTAGACCTTTTTGATCGTGGAGTCTTGACTTGCCCATCATTGTGTAAGTCTTCCCCGAACCAGTTTGTCCATAAGCAAATACACAAACCTAAAAAATTGAAAATGACACCGCAAATGTCTGTGAGCTCAAGGATGCTATTATATAGTACTTCCAATTTCGACAAGTTCCTCAAATCAAAGTATGGATCTATCACCATAAGATAGCTTTAAAGGAGGGCAATTCTATCACATTCTTTACATAAGGTAAGAAGACACATCCACAAAATCACAGCCAAAATAAATTCTTAAACGTAATTAATCTCTCTTCTATTGTTTCATATACAAAAGATTTAAGATCCTCAGTGAAAGCTAGTATATATCAACATGTCAACAAGTACTGCATATATTAGTTGCTTGCAATATCTAAAAGCAAAAATAAGCGAATCAGCCAGGAAATGTTGCAGGCTGTTATATATTTTATTTTATTTTTTTA